CTTTCTCTTATGGCACGGCACTTGCAGGCGGGCTAACCTGGACGTGCGCTTGCTGGCGAACCGTGTTAGTTAGTGTAATACATTAAAGTCTGATTTGGAGTGCGATCACGACGCGCCAAATCCGGATGTAGATCTCTGTTATGGAGTCTCCGCCTCTTCCTTATTTCCAGCGCAGCTGCTCAGTATGTGTGCGCCAACGACGCCTGTGGTGGCTCTCGTGTCTTCTTGTTTCCAGTCGTCCCAGCGCACTCGTCCCGTTCCCGTGTGGCGCCTGTAAAATTCTTTTCAGGTGAGGCGCCGCCGACGTGCCTCCATGGAGTCTCCGCCTCGCGCACGCACCGACGACGACGACGCCCCGCCCACGGACTGGCTGGGCGAGCTGCCGCCGGAGCTGCACCTCCGCATCCTCGAGGGCGTCGACGACTTCTCCGACTGCGCCGCCTTCAGCCTCGCGTCGCCGCGCCTCGGCCTCCTCGCGCAACGCAGCGGCCTGGCGCGCTTCAAGGACCCTCTCTTCGCCGTGGCGATGCGGCTGCTTCTCATCGAGCGTTTGATTGCCGGATCGTTCGTCGGGTCGTCCATCATACGGCCGACGCTTTGCGAGGCCACCCTTCGCGCCTACGCCGCCGACCGCCGCGCCACCGCCGACCACTTCCCGTGGCTTGCGAAGGTGAGCCCGGCGCTTTGCCTCTCGACAACGGTCGAAGGCGCTGACGAGCAACGCGCCGAGGCGTGGGCGCTGCGACGCGGCGAAGAGCGGGGCGCTGATCTGCGGGTGCGCTTCTTGAGGAGTGGCCTGGTGCGGCACTTCGAGGGCGGGCGAGGCGCGGAGCGGATGGTGCGCTTGGAGTTTGCTCACGGCGCCGTGCTGCACTTCGAGGGCGAGCGAGGTGCCGAGCGGATGGCGCGCGAGGAGTCTACCAACGGCATTGTGCGGTACTACGAGGGCGAGCCAGGCGCGGAGTGGGTTGTGCGCGTGGTGCTTGCCGACGGCGTGGTGCAGCACTACGAGGGCGAGCGAGGTGCGGGGCGGTTTGTGCGCAGGGAGTTCGCCGACGGCACCATGGAGCACTACGAGGGCGAGCTAGGCGCGGAGCGGCTGGTGCGGAAGGAGTCGCCCGACGGCACTGTGCGGTACTACGAGGGTGAGAAAGGCGCGGAGCGGGGCGTGCGCACGGTGTTTGCCAACGGCACTGTGCGGTACTACGAGGGCGAGCAAGGTGCGGAGCGGCTGGTGCGCATGGAGTTTGCCGACGGCATCGTGCAGTACTACGAGGGCGAGCGAGGTGCGGAGCGGCTGGTGCGGAAGGAGTCGCCCGACGGCGTTGTGCGGTACTACGAGGGCGAGCCAGGTGCGGAGCAGGTGGTGGGCGCCGAGGGCTAGTAAGAGCTCGAGTGGCGAGTCGCTTGCGTCGATGGCGATGCCTGTGGCTTATGGGCCGTCGTACCGCGTACCACACGCCACCACCAGACCACCACCACACACACACACACACACACACACACACACACACACACACACACACACACACACACTCACGCTGCTGCTGTTGCGTTCTCACGCTTTACGCAATTCTTGAGTGTTGTGCGAGGGAGTTTCGTTGTGAAATCATCCACAGCCGGGAGAGCGCCATCATGGATGATGGAACACGCAGATCTGCTTGATTGATAAGCAGCACGCGCTCCCATGGACCGCCGCTCGAACTCCGACGGTTCCGGCACGTCTGATGGGCAGTTCGTGCTCGAGGGGGAGCAACGATCGAATTCTTCTGGTTTTGCGCAGCGGTGGCGACACGTTGGCTCAGCCCGGCGATATGACGTCCTGCGGATCCTCGCAGCTCGACACGGGCTGCGGCGAGTGCTTCTCGGCGGTGGCGGGCCGTACGCTACCGCCTCCCGGCCCGGCTGGCCGCGTCGCGATCGCTACAGTGTGGGACGGCGGGCACGGCTACGCGTGCGCCATCCCGCTGTGGTGCCAAGGAGCGTCGCGGCTGGCCAGCGTGATTGGCGACGCAGAGCTGCTGATCCTCTCGCCAAAGGTGAGCGAGGACTGCCCGAGCGCGCGCTACCTGCAGCCGGCTCGCACGATCCAGGCGGCGCAGAGCTACCTCCACCGCCACGAAGGCAGGCTCGGCCGCAACTCTGGCCAGCGCGGCGCGTTCGCGGTGTCCAACCTGCTCAAGGTCGCCTTCCTCTCGCTCGGATCGACGTACGAGCTGCTCCTCTACGCCGACCTCGACATCGACCTCATGGCTCGCCCGCTCGACGCCGCCACCTGGCGCAGCGGCGCGGAGGCGCTGTTGCGCTCTTCGGCGCTCTTTGTCTCGCTCTTCGACCACGCGTCGCCCGTCAACGGCGGGCTGTGGCTGGTGAGGCCGCGGTGCGACGTCTTCTCGCAGGCGGCGGAGCTGCTCGAGCGCGGCCGCTGGAGCGCCGCGGAGGGCTTCGACGGCGTCGGCGCGCCGCGCTCCTTCCCCCGGAGCCGGATGCGGGAGGTGGCGGGCCTGCTGGCTGCGGGCTCCGACGCGAGCCTGTTCAAGGTGGAGGGGACGATCAACGGGACGCACTACGGCAAGCTCAACAGCTGGGACTTTGTCAACGGCGCCCTCGACCAGGGCCTGCTCTGGTACCTCTTTTACCTCAAGAACGACCTCGGCACCTGGGCGCGGTACGACCGCGGCGAGCTGCCGTGGCGCGTGGAGCACTTTTGGGGCGTGTCGAAGCCGTGGCGAGCGGCGGCGGCGCGCGGCTACTGGAAGCGGCTCGCGCCGCTCGAGGGCGGCCGCAGCCGTCGCACGCACTGCCGCAACCTGTCGAAGCGGGGAAGCCGGTGGGCCGGGGCCGCCAGCAGCACCGCCTCAAAGAGCCTGGTCGGCCCGCTGCCGTGGCCCGAGGGAATGCGCCGCTTCGGCGACCAGGCCGCCTCCTGGGACCTGTCGCGGCCCGGTGACTGCCGCCGCTCCGGGCCCGACTGCAAGCAGAACCGTGAGGCGTTCAGTATATGAGTCACGGCCAGGCACCGCGTCTCTGTCACAATAGTCGTGTTTGGAGGAGACTTTCGATTGGGCCCGGGCCACAAAGCGGTGTGGGCAGCTGGCTGCTACATCTTTTCTCTTTTGTGCACACGACATTCGTCGCTTGCGCCGTGCGCGTCGCCCCACCTCGTGAGATCAGACAAACTTTTGAGTGTTACATTACTCCTCTCTCGCATCCGTCTTCCGCGTTCCGCTTCCGCGTTCCGGCTTGCGAGTTGCAGCTCCGTCCGCGGCCGCGCCGGCGCACTCCCTGGTGCCGGTCGATCTTCGGTTCGATTCGGCTCCCTCCCACCGATCTCTCCAATGCTGGTACACCTTGTCCGACACAGGCGTCTGTGCCCGCAACGCCTCTCGCGCTACGCGCTCTCGGCAGTCGTGCGCTGCCGCGGAGTCGAGCGCGCGGCAGAGCGCCTGTAGGGTCTCGTCTTGCTGCAGCAGCGCGGCCAGCGTGGCCTGCGTCTTGTTGGAGACGAGGTTGGCGTGACGTGGACGGGCGCAGCCGCCAGAGGCATCTCGCAGCGCGAGCTCGCGGGTCAACACCTCCTGCAGCTCGTCGAGGTGGGACGTCACGCCGACGAGGTCGAAGTGTGCGAGGATGCGATTGGCCAATGCCACCGCAGAGGCCGCGTCGCGAAACAATCCGCCGTGCCAGTGCTGCGCCTGCTCGACCAGCAGGTCAGCCGCCGCGGCCAGTGCGCTCGCGTTGCGCTCACCCCTCTGGCTGGCCGGCAAGCCGACATCGCCGGGGCTGAATGGCAGCAGCAGGTGCCTCAGCTGCGCCTCAAACTCGATTCGTCCGTGCTGCAGCAAGTTCCAGGGGAAGACGCGTGGCATGTTGGTGCTAGCTTCGAGGGCGATGATGGTGGTGACGCGGCCGGGCGGCTCGAGGTGAGGGCGAGAGCAGGGCCAGCCAGACCAGGGCCAGGCTGCCCTCCTCCGTCGGCGCAGCGTCGCACAGTGGTCAGTGCTGCTAGCAGCGCCGGGCGACGACGGCTTGCCGCCTCCGGTCCCGGCCCTTCGCATCACCGACGACACAATGGCCTCGAACAATGGCCACCGCACCGCGCGACGCCGCTCGCCGCCCCCGCCGCCGCCCGGCGTCGCCGCCGTCGCCGCCATCGTCGCCGTCGCCGACGAGTGCCGCTATAGCTCGACCCCCCCCCCCCCCCCCCCCCCCCCCGCGCGCGGCCGCGCCGCGCCATCACCCCAGCTGCACCTCTGGTCTCTCCGGACCGCGCCGCCGCCTGTTGCCCTTGCGAGGGGTTTTGGGCCTCTCTGTCTGCGTCTCGTCTCTCGTGCCGAGCTCCGATCTGGACTGAGGTGGACTCTGCGCTCTGCGGGCTCGGCCCCGGGCGGCCGCGGCGGTCCACGGCTCCACGCCTCCCCACGGGGCGCGCCGGCGCGAGCTCTGCCCGCCACGGGCGCACACGACGCTCGACCGTCGCACGGGGCGCACGTGGTGAGACCACTTTGGAGTTTGGTGACCTGAGGCTGAGCCGCCGGGCCGGGCCGCGCCACCGGACTCGTGTGACATGAAGCGTGTTTCTATTTCGGATCACGAACACGGCCTTTCACCTCGTCTCGGCACCCCGACGTGTGACACTGACAGACCCCGGCAATGCCATGGTGGAGCATGGCCAATGGAGTAGGAGACACAACACCGAGCGAGAGCGGACCCATCAAGAAATCCCGGGACCGCTGGCGCTCTGTACATGTGGATATCCCTGGGCGAGACCGCCGAGAGCGAGCGAGCGGCTCACCTCTCTCTCGGCAGGGAGCCGCGCCGCGGGGCGCCCCTCGCGGCGCCTCCCTCGCCTGCACCATGCCGGTAAGGCAACATCGCAACACATTGTACACCTCTGGGCCCGCAAGACGCAGCGGCGCGTGCCCGCGCCGCCCGCCGTCGAGCCTAGGCCGCCGCCGCCGCCGCCGCCTCCGCCTCCGCCTTCTTGGCGGCGGCGGCCGCCGCCTTCTTGGCCGCCTTGGCCGCCGCGGCCGCGGCCGCCTCCGCCTTGACCCTCGCCTGCTCCTCTCGCCAAGCGTCGTGCTCGCCTGCAAACTCGGGCCTGACCTCGCCGCCGAAGCGCTCCACCACCGTCTCGACGAGGTGCGGGACGAGGTCCTCGATCGGGATGCCCTCGGGCTCCGCCTCGAGCTGCAGCTCGCCGTGCTCGCCGATGGTGCCGCCGAGGAAGACCTTGACGCCCGGCACCGCCTTGAGCTTGCCCGTCTCCGGGTCGGCCTTCTTGGCCGGCCCGCCCATCAGGCCGATGTCGGCGGCCTGCACCTGGCCGCACGAGTTCGGGCAGCCCGTCCAGTGAGATGTGGGGAGATGCGGGGAGATATGGGGAGATAGACCTGGCCGCACGAGTTCGGGCAGCCCGTCCAGTGAGATGTGGGGAGATGCGGGAAGATATGGGGAGATAGACCTGGCCGCACGAGTTCGGGCAGCCCGTCCAGTGGATGCGCACGTCGCGAGAGACGTCGACGCGCTGCTGCACCTCCTTGGCGATCGCCTCGGCGTTGTTCTTCGTCTCGATCATCGCGAGCCCGCAGAACTGCGCGCCGGTGCAGCTCACCAGGTTGCCGACGATGTTGCCCGGAGAGACGCGCAGCCGCGAGTCGCCGTGCAGGGCCGGCTCGGCGAGGAGGGCGGGCACGTCCTCCTCCTTGACGTTTGGCAGGATCACGTTCTGCTCGACCGTCAGCCGGATCTCGCCATCGGGCACGTACTTGTCGGCCAGGTCGGCGATGGCGCGCGCCTCTGCCACCGACAGCCGGCCGACGGGCACGTGGATGCCCACGCGCTTGAGCCCCTCCTGCGGCTGCGGGTGCACGCCGAGGTAGGCGGTGCCGGGCGCCGCCGCCCGCTCGAATGGCTCCGTCGGCCGCGGCTGCTGCACGTCGCACTTCGCCTCGAGCCCGCGCCCGTACGAGCGCATCTCGTCGATGATCTTTTGGCGGTACGCCGGGTGGCAGCGCGGGTGGCCGTCGACCTCGGCCACCTCGCCGTAGCTCTCGACGAGCCACATGAGCCGCCCCTTCTGCCGGTCCTTGCGGTCGCCCTCGTCGCGGAAGACGCGCAGAATTGCCGTCGTCAGCTCGACGGCCGTGGCCACGTCGGCCGGCATCCACAGGTCCATGTCGACCGACTCGGCGACCCGCTTGGTCGACATGTAGCCGCCCAGCACGATGTTGAAGCCGACCTCGCCGCTCGTGGCGTGGACGCAGGGCTGGAAGCCGATGTCGTTGATGTGCGTGTGCGCAAAGTCGTCCCTGCTGCCCGAGACGGCGACGTTGAACTTGCGGGGCATGTTGCTCCAGACCGGGTTGCCCCGCTCGCCCGTCTCCTGGTTGAGCGTGATCAGGTCGTTGAGCGCCTCGCAAAACGGGCGCGTGTCCACCTATGAGCGAGTTCGCTGGTCATTCATTGACAGTTGATGGCAGGACGCGGCAGGAGCGGCGCGTGTCCCACCATCTCGAGGCAGTCGATGCCCGCGAGCGGCGAGCCGACCATGTTGCGCACGTTGTCGAGCGCCGAGTGGAAGGACGTCTGCCCGCGCGCGTGCAGGCCGTCGATGATCTCGTCCGCCTGCTCGAGCTGCACACCGCGCAGCTGGATGTTTTGCCGCGTCGTGATGTCGATCACGCCGAGGTCGGGCCCGTGCGGCTCGACGCTGTCCGCGTAGAAGCGGAACGAGTCGGCGTTCGTCACCCCGTTGGGCAGCCGCAGCCGCATCATGAAGCGGCCGGGCGTCCGCTTGTCGCGGTGCACCAGCCCGACCCACTTGAGCCGCGTGTTCATGTCCATCTTCTCGACGTCCTCCCAGTCCATCTCGCCCGCGCGCACGGCAGCGGCGAAGGTGTAGACGTCGTTGAAGGCGGCCGTCGCGTCCTTGGCCAGCTTGGCCTTCTCGATCGGGTTGCCGTCCTCGGCGCGCACAACCGTCTCCTCGGGAAGGAACGAGGTGCCCGTTGGCCCGCTCCAGGTCGGACCCGGAGGCCCGACGGAGAAGGGCGTGCCGATGGGCGAGATCGAGGCGGGCGCGGAATCAGCCGCCGAGGCGGGCGCGGAGGCAGCCGGTGCGGAGGCAGCCGGTGCGGAGGCAGCCGGTGCGGAGGCAGCCGGTGCGGAGGCAGCCGGTGCGGAGGCAGCCGGTGCGGAGGCAGCCGGAGTGGCAGCAGCGCCGTCGTCGAGGTCTGCCCACACAAAGCCCGCTGGCGGTGGCGTCTCAACGATCGCGAGCCGGACGGCGCTCCGCACGGGCGGCGGCGCGACGCGCGACGCCGGCGACGAGACGTGGATAACGCCGGCCGCCGCGCCGAGAAGGGGCAACATCCGCGTCGAAGGCCCTCGACGGAGGACTGTACGTCGGCGAACGTCGCCGAGGTCGGAACGTGAATTCTTTTGCTGCCCATCTGCTGGACACGAATCGTTCGGCAAGCTGCTCCGCAAGGTTAAAATTGGTGGGTGAGGGTATGGGGACGGGGCACTGCGGCGCTCCCCCCTTTGTTTTTTCAAGGGGAGGAGTCAAAAGATGGCCTCCCTGCTGTTCCCACAGCGGGTGGTGGGTAGCTGGGTACCGATTCTGCTTCTGGTGCTCAGGCGGTGTCATTCGGAGCGTCTCAACCCTTCCAAGCCTTCCAAGCCTTCGATAAGCAGATGCTCGCCGCGCTCCTTGTCGGCCTGTCGGCCCTCATCGAGGCCACCTCAGTCATCGAGGCGCAGCGCGTCTCCTTCCGCGTTTCTCGCGACGTCTCCGATAAGTTTGGCCGCAGCGGCGCGGTCGCCTTGCGCTCAGTCATCCCGGCGCCGTCGGCACCGCTGCAGCGCCTCGGCTGCCCGTGCACCCTCGAGGAGTTTGAGAGCACGGCGCGAGAGAGCCGCTTCGCCGCTTCGCTCGCGTGCGCGCTCCTCCGCTGCGACGCCGTCTGCGACCCGGTTGGGGAGTGGGGCGCCGGCTTCACGCACGCGCACGACCACTATGCCTATGCCCACCTCTTGGAGGAGCCGAAGCGAAGCTGCGTCGTGGTGCTCCCGCGCGAGCCGGTGACGCTCACCCTGCGAGGCCACCCCGCCACCATCGTGGCGCCGACGCCGTACTCGTCGTCGTCGCACGTCGCCTTTTTCGACTCTGTGGACAGCGCAGTCGAGGCCTGCGGCTCGACCGCCCAGGCGCCGCCGCCGGAGCCGGAGATCTGCCTCGACGCGGGCGACGCGCTGGTGCTCCGCGGCGACCTGACCGAGCCGCCCGGAGGCCTGGGCGGAGGCAGCCTGGTCTACCATTTCCGCGCGTGCGGGGCGAGAGACCGGGCGGTGCTGTTTGTGTCGCCGGCGCTCGAGGTGCGGGCCAGGCTAGCCGGGCCGGGCGGCACGAGCGGAGAGGGAGGGCCGTCCTAGCGGAGAGTGTCGGCCCCGCCCGCCGCGTCATCGCGGCGCGCTGCGGTTGTGTGAGAGACCCGTGTGAGAGGCAATGTGCACAAGCCCGGCGCGTCGGCGCCGGAGCTTGCTCGTCTGATGTGTGTGAGCAAGCGTGAGAGTTAAACCGCGCCCCGCAGGCTCTGAGAAAATCTGGACGGTAGCCGACCAGGCCTGTTCGTTGTTGCCTCTGGGCAGGGTGGCGCTCGAGCGTCGAGCCTCGACCAGGGGTGCGGGTGTGCGGGGTGCGGGTGGCGGCCCCGCCGCAATCCCCGGCGCCCCGGCCGCCCCGGCCCCCATCCCCCGCCCCAACGACACGAGCAGCGTGCAACGACACTCGTAGGGGTAAAGGATTTTCGAGGGGTGTTGTCAACACCGCCCCTCAAGTCAACACTCTCCCTCAAGACGACACTCTCTTTTACGAGGCCTAATAGCTTGGGCACTTGGAGCACTTGGAGTGCGCAGTCGGCAACCTCACACCCAGGGCCGGGGAGCTATGAAGCGCACCCAGCGGGCAGGTTTTGCTTTGGTGCTTTTCTTTAATTAAACGTCGGAAGGAAGGCGAAGGGCGAAGGAACCGCGACGGGCTTCCTCGAGGCCGCCTCGGCGCCACGCCCCAGCCTCAATGGCTCCCTCCCGGCGCCGCGCCGGCCGCCTCCGGCCCTTGCTCGACAAGCTCTTCGTCGCGTTCGAGGCTGCGCCCTGGCTCGTCCAGGTGCTGCTCTATTTGTGCACTGCGCCACTGCTCGAGGCTCTCTTCTACCTGCACACGGCCTCGTGGCGAGAGTGGCGGTCGAGCGCACCACACAACACACACGAGCGCGCCGACACCGCCGCGGTGCTCGCCTTCTACGACCGGATCCTTGCCGAGGAAGACGCCGACGGCCTCAAGTTATTTCTGCACGGCTGGTTTCTCGAGCAGCCTGCCTCGCCGTGGCAGGAGCCTCGCTACGGAAACATCCGCGAATTTGTCGCGTGGACCCTCTACGGCGACGCGGGCGAGCGGAAGCCAAAGCAGACCTCCACCGTCGACCGAGTGATGAACCAGATCGAGGTGGTGCTTGGGCCACTGCCTGCCGGCCGGGCGGAGCGGCTGGTGGCGATGACATACACCCGCGAGCCGCTCGGACGCTGCCACCGGCCTCTGGTGAGATCGCGCGCATGCCCTCGTCCCACTCCGCCCAGCAGCAGCGCGCCACACCCTCCTCCCTCCTCCTTGCCAGGCCGTCTACCTCTGCTGCTTTGCAGCGCACGGCGCCATCCGCAAGATGCTGCAGCTGCTCGGCTTCAGCTCGCGCTCCGTGGGGAGGCTGCGCTACCTCCACCGGCCCGACCGGCGCGGCGGCGGCGCCACCAGCGCGCCGCTCGTCTTCCTTCACGGCATCGGCGGGCTGCTGCCTTACCCGCTGCTGCTGCTGCAGCTGGCCTCTCGGTGGGAGGGGCCGGTGCTGCTGCCGCTCCTGCCGCACGGTGCGCCGCCGCCCGCCACGCCAGGCGCGGAGGCGGCTCCGTCTCACTCGTCCGCGTCCGCCTCGCAGGCGCTCTCGACCGGCTTCCAACCTCCCGCTGCGTCGCGAGGGCGATGCGGATGCCCGAGCTCGTCGGAGCCGTCGAGGTGATGGTGCGCCGGCACGCGCTGAACGGGAGGGCGCCGAGCGCCGCGTTCATGTCGCACTCGCTTGGGACGGGTCCTCCGCAGCTCCGAGGAACGGCGGGGCACGGCCCGCGCTCTCCTCACCGTGTGGGTGTGTCATGTTAGGCTATCACGCCGCCATCGCGACTCGCGCGCCCGGCTTGGTCGCTGCGTCGCTCTTCGCGGACCCGATCTGCTTCCTGCTGCACGAGAGGGACGTGCTGCACAACTTCTTGTACGAGGCGCGCGCCTCCCTCCCCTAGAGCGAGCCCGGCTCCGACACCAGCCGCCTCCAACTCCGTGTAGCTTCTCTCACGCCCACGCCTCGCCTCCTCCGCCGCAGGTCGCCCCCCTCCGCCCAGCAACCTGGTTCCACTGGCTGCAGCGGGTCGCCGTCGCCTCCGACCCGACCGTACAGAACTGCTTGCGGCGCGAGTTTTGGTGGTCGCAGCACTGGCTCCACCCCGCGTCGCTGCCTTCGCCGACCGCCGTGCACCTCTCCGCGGCCGACACCGTCTGCAACCCCCGCCGCGTGCAAGAGCACCTGCTCCGGCACGGCGGGGCGCAGGCCGGGCTCGACTCGCCGCTCGAGGTGGAGCTGAGCCGCGGCATGTTCACCGTGCACGGGTGGCTGTGCGTCGCTCCGGCGGCGCAGCGCCGGGCCATCGCAGACTTGGGCCGGCTCCTCGCCCGCGGCCTGGCGCAGCGGGCCGCGGGTCGCAAGGGCGCGGGCGAGGGGGACCGCACTGCGGATGGCTCGCACCTCGCTCTCGCGGTGCGGCACCGTGGCGCGAGGGCGAGTGGGCAAGCCGTGCGTCTTGAGCCTCTAGGCGACACCGACTCTGTGAGCTCGTCGGGCGAGTCGGACGGATGCGGCGAGTAGGCCTTGCTCTGCCGCGCCGTGCCGCTTGCGCCTTCTGAGGGGATTTGGTTTGCATGTAGGCGGGCGCGGTGTGCGCTCGGTCACTCGCACGCCGTCTACGGGCGCGATGCTGAGTGCGTGAGGGCGCGTGCGGCGGGCGGGCAAGGGAGAGCGCGGCTGCAGCTTGCGCCGTCGCAAGCCTCGGGGTTCATTGGTTGCATGGGGAATTGAGGGTGGCGGTTGCATGGGTGGCGGGTGGCGGTTGCATGGGGTGACGGGTGGGTTGCATGGGTGACGGGTGGGGAACCATGATGCATGTGATTGTGATCCGGTCTCAGCTCGAATGAAGCTGCAGATGCGGCTTGGTGAGATGTTGTGCATGTCTGCATGATAGCAGCATGTGCCATGTCCATCACTTGAACTCACTTGTCACATGGACTCATGTGGGCGGCGTTGTCAGATGAGCGTTGTCAGATGAGACAGATCTACTTTGAACTCGCCGCTACGGCAATTGTCGGACGGGATTCCCGTCGTGTGGTTCGCGTTTTGCACAAGAGCGCGGCACCGGGTGCTGCCTGACACGTGACACTGCCCACTGCCGTACACGGATCGCGATCGCATGCCACTTTTCTGTTTTCATGACACTCGCGAAAAAAGACATGCCAAGAATCTTGATCCACGTCCGCTATCTAACACACCTGGCCCTAGGCAGTGGCCAGTGGCAGTGCCAGTGCGCAGTGGGCTGCGCGGGAGACAGCGGTGCGACCGGACGCGGACCCGCCGGATCCGCCGGCCTCGTGCTCTCATCCCCGGGCGACCCCCCACCGGTCCCCAAAGGCGTCGATCGCGCCGTTCATCATCTTGATGAAGGTCAGCGTCGACGGCTTTGCGCTCCGTGGCGGCTCCGGCAGTCGTGGCGGGTAGCGGCTCATGAAGTGGCGCTTGGACCAGCTGAAGTCCTGGGCCTGCGATGACGGGGTAGCGAGAGAGGGGTTGAGGCCGGGGGGCGGGTTGTTGATCTGGCCGGGGCTAGCGAGATGTGTACGCGGGCTGGGGGCCGCCCCCTCGGGCCAGGGAGGCGGCGCGCCCTCTGGTCGAGGTCAAAGGTGTAGTGGTAGATGTCGTGGTCGTCCAGGTTGTAGATGCCCGCGCCGCCCGGCTCCGCCTGGAAGGTCTTGTGCACCTGGACGCATCGGGGGGGCGCTAGTGCTTGGCCCAAGGCTGGCGCCAGGGCCATGGCTTTCGGGTCAAGCTTCTCAAGGTCAGAGTGAAGGTCAGAGTGAAGAGTGAAGTATGGGGTCAGGGCCAGAGGGCTAGGGGCGAGGGAAGTCTAGGTGCGCCTGGTGCCGCACGCCCGTGCGCGCCGCGGCGAGGGTGTACGCCCACATCTCGAGCACCCACCCGAGCGCCTGGTCCGCCTCGCGGTCCCGCTTGAGCTCGAGGCAGAGCCTGCGCAGGAAGGTTCCGAGAAGGCTCCGGGCGGCGCCTTCACCACGGCTCGCTCAGCCGCCGCTCTCGGCCCCTCTCTGCGACCTCTCGGCTACCGCTCGCCTCCACCACGGTTCGATCAGGCCTCGCAGCTGCGCCTGGGGCAGACGCCGCGGGCTGTGTCGCGGACGTGTCGCGGACGTGTCGCCTGCAACGGGCGCGCCGGGGCTAGCGCACCTTGTGCACAATCAGCGGGGACGGGCCGACGGGGTCGACGTCGTCCGGGTCGTGCCACCGCCGGATCACCGGCCCGAGCTTGCGCGCGTCGTACTTGTACGTCATGTAGTAGAAGCCGAACGCCACCGGCGACGCCTCGGTCGCGCGGTTGCGGGGCGGCCGCAGCAGCAGGTGGTCTGTCTCGATCACGAAGAGGTAGTCCTCGGCGAGGGAGGCCGCCTCCTTGGAGGCGAAGTACTGCCGGAGCGACCACGGCCGGTTCATCACCTACACGGGCACGGCTCCGAGAAGCTTCTCGGAAGGGTCCGAGGGTCCGAGTTCAGCTCCTCCACCGCCGCTCGTCACCACAAAGCCGTGCGAGCACTCGTCGCACCGCCCCGCGCCCAGCTGCTTGGTCAGCACCGTCGGGATCTCGCCCATCAGCCCGTCCGGCCGCCCGTCCGGCGTGGACAGCAGCCGCGTGAAGCCGCCTGCAGGAAGGTTCCGAGACGCTTCCGGGAAGGCTCCGCCTGGCAGCGGCCGTGGCCGCGCGACGCCGCCGAGGTCGCTGCACGGCTGCGCCGCCTTGAGCTGGCGGTAGTAGTGGTATGCGATCCGCGTCTGCCACTCCTGGTACGTGCCCGACGCGGCGGTCAGCAGCACGTGGTACGGCCGCCGCTCGGCGCCGCAAGCCGGAGGCGGCGGCGACGCGGCGGCGGCGGCCGCCGCGGGCTGACTCCTCCCTGTGGCTGCGGAGGAGTTTGACGCTGGAGCTTGGGCGGCCGCCGCTGAGCCTGGCGAAGCGGCCGACTGCCTCGCACCCAAGGCAGCGTCCGAGCCAGGAGTCTGCGA